CTGGAGCTCGCTGCCAGCCCTGAGCAGCACAGCTCCGCAACACGAGTCACCAGCTCGGAGCTGTCTGCTCGCTGGCAGTGAGGCTGCTGAGGGCAGCAGACGCTGCCGGGGTGCGCCTGCTGCCACCCGCCCCGCTGCACGCTGATGTCTCCGGGGTTTCTGCGTATGTACAGCCTGGACAGAGGCAGTCTGATGTCCAGCATCGCAGTCAAATGCCTCAGGTTCCCCAATTCCACGTGCACCACCTCTCCGGGTGCTGAAAGGGTGTGCGTGTTTGGGGAAATCTAGGTGGGGGGGTAGTATTTACAACCTACAATGAGAACTACAATGCTTAAGGACCGTCGTGGGTTCAGTCTGTCACAGGCAAGTCGGAAACTTTACAAAACCAGCAAAATAAACGCTCCTTACTTTGCAGAAGACAGCTCCACTAGGTAAATATTCTCACTTAGTTTCTGAGCTATTCCAGTCATCCTGAGGCAGACACTACTTTACATCACAGACCTGCTCTATTTTGTGATACATACCATTACAGTCAAGGACTGCAGTGAATATTTACATATCATAAAGATCCCCTTTGCTCTCCTGTTAAAGATTCAGTAACTGCTGAATCTGCTCAGACAGTAATCTGCTCATACGGCTTCCTCCGCAGCAGATTGGTGTCTTTGGTCCCTTTGGGGAACGCAGATCCTGGTGGTGCTAGGTGAGTTTGTCCATAAGAAATCATTCCAGAAACTGTGTTTATGACAGTGAGCTCTGGGACGGGGGGGCGGGGGTTCACATTCAGCGGTGGCAGAAAACCTGAAGCTGGCCTTGTCTGATCCAGCACTAAGGCTCCTGCGCCCTCTTCCTCTAGAGGAGCCTGATTTCTGCCTCTCGGAGAAACAGGAGACATCCTCTCCAGACCTCTTCTCGGGCTTGGTAACAAAGTCTGGTAGGTAGAAAGAATCTCTTGATTTCCTTTTGGTGACTTACTGCCTTTTGTATCAACAGGAATTAAACTGTTAGTTAACTGGGAACTGGAGATGTTGTAATTCGATTCTCTGCTTCCTTTCTTGATAATACTGCCAAGGTTTGAAAGTAAGCTGATTTGTCCCAAACTGGCATCCATGCCCATGGGAATCTCACTGGGGTTATGCTTCTCTTCAACAAAAGGCGTCTGATAGTTTATTGAGTCACGTAATGCTTTCCTTGACATGGTTTGATCAGAGGTTTTCAGTACCTGAGCGGTGTCCTTCCTGTCTCTACTTCCATGACTGGTGCTGACACCCCTGCATAAGTCAAGGCCAGTCACCTTACAGGAGAGCTCTTCTGTGGGACTGATACCCTGAAGTTCTTGAGAAGAAGTGATTTTCCTCTGCTGAAACACTGCTGGACAGCAGTTTAGCCAGGGATCACACTGCAGTACCTGCGTCAGCTTGAACCGTGCTGGTGTTGAGCTGGATTTGGTCATCAGTGGCACTCTTTCAGATGAGTTGTCCCCCTGTCCACCATACAGCTCCTTGTAGCTGAATGGGTCTTCTGGACCCTCGTTTGCTTCTATTTCCGATGGGGAGGTGCAGTCAGCTGAGGAAGTGCATTCCTCCAGGTCTGGAGGAGGCACGTTCAGGTACTGCTTTGTTTTCTGCCTCCCTGACGCCGACTTGTCTGTGGTGATGATGATCACTTCCTTCCCTCGCGCCTTGCAGGCCTTGAGCAGCAGCTCCAGGGTGTCCTTGTCCGCAGCGTTGATGGCGTAGACCAGAGCAGAGCAGTTGGAGTGGTCTGGCAGGCTGGGGTCAGCCCCGCTCAGCAGCAGCAGGGACACCACTTCAGGGCCCGCTTTCTCCAGGCAGGCGTGCATCAAGGCCGTCTTGCCGGACTTGTCCTGGATGTTGGGGTCAGCCTTGTTGTCCAGCAGGTACTTCACCATCTTGGCCTTGCTGGCGCTCTGCAGGTCGCTGTGTTTGGTCATGCAGGCGATCATGAGCGGGGTCTCGCCCCGGCTGTTGCTCTCGTTGACGTAGGCCCCGCCGTCGATCAGCAGGCGGGTCAGGCGCAGGCGCCGCTGGTACACGGCTTTGATCAGGGAGTAGCCCTCGGGTGGCACGTCCACCGCCTCCATCATCCTGCTCTGCCCACCTGCTCCTTCCTAGCGCTCACAGCCACACCTGGCTGCCCCAGAAACCACACAGGTCCCCCAGAGAAAGGGAAAAAACAAAACAAAACAAACAAAAAACTGTAAAAAAAACCCGGTAAAAAACTGCTGTAAATGCCCTCATATTTTGTGAAAAACTATGAAGGGAAGAAGAATAGTTTTCCCACCATTTAGACTCACAACAAACGTATTACACACTTAAAAACACCCAAAACTTCAATATAATTATAACATTTATATAAAATTAAAGCATGACTGTCACCTTCTTGCTTTTTGACTGACCTTTACACAGTCCTCTGCCTGAGCAGACAGTATCAGGTCTAGAACAAAAGAAACATTTGACAGCATCAGAGAGAATCAGGTTTCACACAGAAAATTAAGAGCTTAATGTGGCATAAATAACAAAAGTTCTTATATGACTGCATACCTGCAAACATGCAACTAAAACTTCTGTCTTGAATGTGCTTGCTTACCTGTGTGTAGGAAAAACCTTAAGAGAAAAAAAAAATCAGTCTTTATTAATTGGCAGAGTAACATCATTTCATTACCAGATTAGATATGGATTAAGGGATTACATTCATTTATTTACAATATATAATATATAATTTATAGAGAAATAAAAATGTTTAACTGGTTTAACTGTATAGGAAATTAATTAATAATTTTTATTAACCACTGAAAACTCTAGTAATGTTCTGGTGATTAACTGAAAAGCAGTAATTTCAAAGCAGTAATTTCATTCTGTTTTACTGTGAATACCAAATCTCAATATACTTTGTTCCAAAAGTCCAACCAAAAAAACAAAAAAAACCCAAAAAAACCAAAAAAACCCCACCAAAACCCAAACCGCCCCCCCCC